TGGTCACCTATTGGGGCCTCTTGGGCCATCTTGGAGCCATCTTGGGCCGTTTTTATGGCCTCATGGTCCGTCTGGCGCCGTAGGAAGCCGTCTTGAGGGCCTCCCTGGGCCGACTTGTGGCCCTCTTGGGGTGCTGCAGTGCCGTCTTGGAGACCATCTAGGGCGTCTTGGAGGCCTCATGGGCCCGTCTTGGAGCCATCTTGGAGCCGTCTTGGGGGCTTCTTGGGCCGTTATGGGGCCATCTTGGAGGCCTCTTGGGCGATCTTGGGGCGATCTTTGGGGGCTCTTGGGCCGTCGCAGGCCGTTGGGAGGCCGAAAAGATGCAAATTCCCAATGCCTTAAACAACCTAGGGCAAATCAATAATTTTGGCTTCTTCAGGCCTTCCTGGAGGCCCTCCTGGAGGCCTCCTGGGCCGTCTTGCTTACCTCTTGGGGGCCTCTTAGGCTGTCTTGGGCCATCTTGGAGCCATCTTGGGCCGTCTTGGTGGCCTCATGGCGCGTCTGGCGCCGTCGGAAGCTGTCTTGGGGGCCTCTCTGGGCCGACTTGGGGCCCCCTTGGGGTGCTGCAGTGCCGTCTTGGAGGCCATCTAGGGCGCCTTGGAGGCCCCTTGGGCTGTCTTGGGGCTCTCTTGGGGCAGTCTTGGGGGCTTCTTGGGCCGTCCGGGAGCCACCTTGGAGGCCTCTTGGGCGGTCTTGGGGCCATCGTGGAGGCCTCTTGAGCCGTCGGGAGGCCGAAAAGAAGCCAATGCCAAAATCCTTAAAAAACCTAAGGCAAATCAATGATTTTGGCCTGTTCGGGCCCTCCTGTAGGATCTCTTCGAGGCCTTTTGGGGGCCTCTTGGCCCGTCTTGGAGACTTCTTGGGCGGACTTGGAGGCATCTTGGAATCTCTCGTGCCGTCTTGGGGATCATCTTTGACCATCGTGGGCGAACTTGGAGGCCATCTTGGCCGTCTTGGAGGTCATCTTAGAGGCCATCTTGGAGCCATCTGGAGCAGGAAAAACCTCGGGAGCCACCCCGCCCAGAGGTTTCCGGGTCCTTCCGGATGATCGGCGGGACTGGCCGAAGCCCCAGGGGGAGTTCTCTTGGAAAGAACCAAAACCAAAAACCGTAAGAAGTCCAGCACGCCAGGCACCTTTGTGACAAATCAACAAGGGGCGGCGGATCGAAGACGCTTACGGCGAATCACCGCCGCCCCCTGCCTTCTAGAATCGCCGATGTGGCCGGGGGTTGTGGCAAGAGCTCTGCCAAGCTATCGGGCCATGTGTTCCCCCAACCGTTGTGGAAACCCTTCGGGGAACACTTGAGGGAGGATGGCAGGGAAGATCAGGAGGAGGCGGAGGAGGAGGAGGAAGAGGAGGAGGAGGAAGAGGAGGAGGAGGAGAAGGAGGAGCAGAAGGAGGAGCAGAAGGAGGAGGAGGAGGAGGAGGAGGAGGAGGAGGAGGAGGAGGAGGAGGAGGAGGAGGAGGAGGAGGAGGAGGGCATCTTGGGAGCCTTTGGGAGCCTCTTGGAGGCATCTTTCTTGGGGGCCTCCTTGGGCCTCTTGGGGGCTTCTCGGGTGCCTCTTCGGCCGTCATGGTGGGCTCCTGGACTCCTGGCCCGTCTGGCGCGCCGTCGGGAGCCGTCTTGGGGGCCTCTCTGGGCCGACTTGGGGCTCTCTTGGGGTGCTCCAGGGCCGTCTTGGAGGCTTCCTGGGGCGTCTTAGAGGCCTCTTAGGGCGTCTTTGGGCTCTCTTGGGGCCGTCTTGGGGGCCTCTTGGGCCATTTCTGGGGCCATACTGGAGGCCTCTTGTGCGATCTTGGGGCGATCTTTGGCGGCTCTTGGGCCGTCTCGGGACGTCGGAAGGCCGGTAATATGCAAATGACAAAATGCTTCAAAAACCTCAGTTGGTCTCTTCGGGCCTTCCTGGAGGCCCTCTTGGAGGCATCTTGGGCCGTCTTGGGCCATCTTGAAGCTATTTCGGGCCGTCTTGGTGGGCTCCTGGCCCGTCTGACTCGGAAGCCGTCTTGGGGGCCTCTCTGGGCCGACTTGGGGCCCTCTTGGGGTGCTCCAGGGCCGTCTTGGAGGCTTCAGGACTCTTGGGCCGTCTTGGGGCCCTCTTGCTTGGGGGCCTCTTGGGCAGTCCTGAGGACATCTTGGAGGCCTCCTGAGCGCTCTGGGGGCGATCTTGGGGGCCTCTTGGGCCGTCTAAAGGCTGAAAAAGAGCAAATACGAAAATCCTTCAAAACCTAAGGAAAATCAATGATGTTAGCCTCTTCGGGCCCTCCTGGAGGACCTCTCGGAGGCCTCTTGGGCCGTCTTGGAGGCTTCTTGGGCACCTCTTGGGCAGTCTTGGGCCGTCTTGGAGGCTTCTTGGGCGGACTTGGAAGTATCTTTGACCCTCCTGGGCCGTCTTGGAGGCCATCTTGGAGGCATCTTGGCGGCCAGCTTGGGCCATCTTGGAGCCGTCTGGAGCTGGCAGGAAAAGCCTTGGCAGCCGGGTCTTCCGGGCCTTTCCGGGTGGCCGGCGGGACAGGCCGGAGCCCCATGGGGAGAGCTGGCGTGCCGGGCACCCTTGCGACAAGCACAGGGGGCGGCGGATCGAAGACGCCTACGGCGAATCACCGCCGCCCCTGGCCTTTGTGGAAGCGCCTATGTGTCCGACAGCTGGGCTAGAGCTTGGCCAAGCTATCGGACCATGTGTTCCCCGAGTCGGTTTGGAAAGGTTTCGGGGAACGCGGGGGGGAGGAAGGGGAGGAGGTGGAGAAGGAGGAAAAAGGAGAGAGGGGAGGATGCCTCTTCGGAGCCTCTTGAGGCACTCTTGGGCTCGATGGGACCATCTTGGAGGCCATGTTGGGGCTATCTTGGGCTCTTTTGGGGCCTGTTGAGGGCCTCTTGGGGCACTTTTGGGGCTTCTCGGGGGCTTCTTTGGCCGTCTTATGGCGTGCCTGGCCCGTCTGACGCCGTCGGGAGCCGTCTTGGGGGCCTCTCTGAACCGACTTGGGGCCCTCTTGGAGCGCTTCGGGTCCGTCTTGGAGGCCATCTTGGGCGTCTTGGAGGCCATCTTGGGCGTCTTGGAGGCCTCTTGGGCCGTCTTGGGGCCCTCTTGGGGCCTTCTTGGGGGCTTCTTGGGCCGTCATGGGGCCATCTTGGAGGCCTCGTGAGCGATTTTGGGGCGATCTTGGGAGCCTCTTGCGCCGTCTTGAGGCCGTCGGGAGGCCGAAAAGAAGCAAATGCCTAAATCCTTCAAAAACCTAAGGAAGCCCAATGATTTTGGCAATCATTGGCCTCGTGGGGCTCTCCTTGAGGACCTCTTGGAGGCGTCTTGGGGGGCTCTTAGGGGCCTCTTGGGCCGTCTTGAACCATCTTGAGGCTATCTTAGGCCGTCTTGGAGGCATCTTGGGCCATCTTGGAGGCATCTTGGGGCCATCTGAGCCGTCTTGGAGGCCATGTTGGCCGTCTTGGAGGCGTCTTGGAAGCCATCTTGGGCCGTCTTGGAGCCGTCTGGAGCAGGATACCTTTGGCAACCACCTCTGGGCAATCTGGAAGATCTTTCCGGGTGGCCGGCGGGACGGGCCGAAGTCCCAGGGAGAGTTGTTTTGGAAAAAGAACCAACACCAAAACCGAAAGGGTCTAGCACGCCAGGCACACTTGCGATGAATCGACAGGGGGCGGCGGATCTGATGGCCTTCGGCCCATCCTCCGCATCAACCTTGGTCACTCCTCCGCGGACAGTACTGTGGTTTCCGTCAACGAGGCCAATATAAATCGCGTCGCCCCTCCTCCTGTGGGATGGTCACCAACAGGTCTTTTGCAATTTGGAGGCGCGATTGGCTCAGCCATTGTTGAAGAGTGTGACGCGCTTCGACGCCCTGATCCAGTGAACGCTGTTCCTTCTTCCACCCCTCCCAGAATCTACAACGACCCGTACCTTCGGTCTCATCCCAAGCTGTATGCTCGTTTTCTTAATCGTCTCCGTTCTTCCAACTTGGTTGCGTGGAGGCGAGGACGCACCTCTCGCGTCGGCGTTTTCTCTGCGGCAAAAAAGAGAACGGGGACCTGGGGCTCATCTTGGGTGGTGGCGCCGCAGGTGGGCACTTCGGAGAGCCCCCCCCCACGTGGACCTATGGCTACCGGTTCCGCTCTCTCGGCGTCGGAGGTCGACAGTGGGGGGGCCCATCTGCGTCGGGGGGGCGGATATATAGAGAACGCGTTCCTCCTCCCCGTCCTCCTCGTCCTCCTCGTCCTCCTCGTCCTCCTCGTCCTTCTCGTCCTCCTCGTCCTCCTCGTCCTCCTCGTCCTCCTCGTCCTCCTCGTCCTCCTCGTCCTCCCCGTCCTCCTCGTCCTACCTGGGGATTACCGCCGATCATGCCGGAAGCCCGCTGCGGGCCACCGACTGGGTCGCCCCGTGCTTCGCGGCCGCCCCCATTGGATGGAAGCACAGCCTGTGGATCTGCCAGAGGATCATGGAGTTCCGCGCCCGTGCCAATACCCTGGCCTCCCCGAAGCTCGCTCCCGACGATGCTCACCTCCCTGTGCGTCTGGCGCGGTCATCTACCCAGGTGTTACATGCAGAGTGCGTCGACGATTTCGTCGCACTGGGCCTGTCCGGCCGACCGTAGCGGTGACTGAGTCCGTCGACCGCAGCCTCAAGGAGGCCTGCCTGCGTACCCACGGTGCTTCGGTGTCAGACGGCGGGGGCGTTCTTGGTTGGACCTTTGACCCCGACCTGCCGACAGTGGGCATCAGTCACCCCATATGATGGCGCATTCGTCTTGGCTGCCCTGCGGTGTCGAACATGAGCCACGCGTCGGGGGATCGCGCGCGGGTCGTCGCGTCGCATTTCACGTCCCGCGCACTGCTGCACCCGAGTTGTTCTCGTGCTTGCAGGCCTCCTACGCCTTCATCGAGAGTGCTGGTCGTTCCACTCGCCCTCTCTGGAATGCTGTGAGACGTGGGCTCCGATGGTGCGCCGCCCCGATCACCCTCGCTTTCCGTGACGTCAATGCCGCCTGGTCCCCGATGGTCTACTGCACTGGCGCATCGCGGTGGGGAGCTGGCGTGGCGCGGTGCCCCCGAGCTCGAGAGGGGGCGCAGGATGCGGGCCACTACTCGGAGCGCATGAGGTACTCCGCGGCCCACGAGGCCGTCCCCAAGCCATGGGATTCCGCCGTGAAGTGCCCCGTCAGCGGCGGTGTGACCGCCTCCCCGCAGGACTCCGAGATCCCGAAGGCCCCTTTTCCTGAGGTCCCAAAGTCGGAGTTCGGCGGCGACTGGTCCCTCGTGATGTCCCAGAAGAGGTCCCGCACGGAGGTTCAGGTGGTTCTGGAAGCTAGGGCTCTGGTGCTGACGGTGAAACATGTCGCTCGGAACATCTCGAACTTTGGCCACGAGCATCTGATCCTGAATGACAGTATGGCCCCCATCCTTGCCGTCACGAAGGATCGCTCGCCTAGCCCTGGCATGCTTCAGTGTTGCCGCCAGATCGCTGCCCTCCACCTCGGCTCCAACTATTACGTGGGCTGGAGGTGGGTCCCGTCCGAGCTCAACGCAGCCGATGCCGCTTCTCGAGGTCGCGTCGGCGCTGTTCGTTTCGATGCTGCGCCGACTCCAGTTGCAGCGTTCGGCCCCGACCGGCTCAGGGTCCTCCGCGATGGCTTCTGCGGTGCCGAGCGCGGCGACGTGCCAGGCGCTGGTCCCGTTCCCGCTGGGCTCGCGCGCGGGGGCTCTCCTGCGCGCGACGGTTGCGCCCGACCTGACGGCGCCGTCCAGGTCGAGGCCGCGCCGCGAGGGGGTGCCCCGCGGACCCGACGCCCAGGGCCAGAGGGCGGCCAGGAGGACTCGGGCATTCCCCACGGCCGTGGGTGCCCCGATGGCTGCAGAGCGTCCGTCAGACGTCATTCCTCGAGCTGCAGAGCATCGCGCCGAAGGCCGCCTTGGACCACCGCGCGTACGTGAGCGCCTTCCACGAGAGGTGCAAGGAGCGTGGCTTGGTCGAGGACTTCGACAGGTTCCTGACGTGAGCTCCTGCGATGGACTTCGCCTTCGTGACCTACATGCAGCGCGCGAGAAGTTCTTCGCGGGCAAGCTTGCATGCGCGCCGAGGAAGCTGATGGCGGGGCTCCGATATTCTTGGACGTTCCAGTTCGGAGCCACTCTCGAGCCCCCTCGCAGCACGCGGGGGCTGACGGGCTGGAAGCACATGGTGCCAGCTCAGAGCCGCCGGCCATGCCCTTGGGTGGGCCTGCGCCTGTGCGCGCAGCGCATGATCGGCGCAGGTCAGGTCCTGGAGGCCATGGCGAGCATCATCGCCTTCACGTTCTACTTTCGCCCGAGAGAGCGCCTCCGCCTGAAGGGCCAGCCCATCGCCGCCCCGGCCTCCTCTCGCGGCGGCCAGCCGACGGAGGCAGGGGCGCTGCGGTCGATCCTCCTTCGCCCGCAGGAGGGCGCGGACACGTCCAAGACGGGCAAGGTGGACGAGAGCCTCCTCGCGGACAACCCGCTCCCCCCGTAATTTTCGACGGTGCTCGAGACCCTCGATCAAGGCCAAGACCCCCAGCGACGCGCTGGTGTTCCCCTTCGGCCAGGCGCAGTGGACTCGTGCCTTGAAGGCCGCGGCCCTCGCCGGCAACTTGTCTTTGCTCGGCGAGTTCAGTCTGTGTCGTCTCCGCCACGGGGGCGTCTCGCACGACCTACTGTTCAAGGTTCGGTCTCTGTTCGGCGCCAAGAAGAGAGGGCACTGGGCGAGCGGCCGCAGCCTGGCCCGCTACGAGCGCGGCGGTCGCATCAACGAGCAGCTTAGCCTCCTCGACCTCCGCGCGCTGCCGAGCTGGCCGCCGCGAACATTGGCGCCGCCCTCGTGAATGTCCCCCGCAGCTTGTGAAGGCGCACAATCGCCCCGCCCTGCTCGGCATTTTCTCTGGATCGGGTACACTCGCCGACGCCGGGAGGCGGTCAGTGCGAGGCAAGCATCTTGTTTTTGAGGTCGACATTCGATTTGGACCCTCTCATGACATGACTGACACCTCCCTGGTCAAACTCATTCAAGGGCGGATTCGGTCTGGCATCGTGGTGGCCGTTTTCCTTGAGACTCCGTGCAGCTCGTTTTCCCTGGCGAGGAATCGCCCGAACGGCCCCCCGACTTTCTGGACCTCTGAGCACCCTGCAAGCCTCCCTGGCCTTCATATGACGTGTCGGCCTCAAGTCGACGCCCTGTGTGCAGCTGCCTGGGCTATTTTTATGGGTGCCGCTTGCGCGGCTGTCCCGTGGTCGTCGAGAACCCAGCGAGCTCGCACATCTGGAGGCAGCCTCAGATGGTTCGGACCCGGGGGCTCCCTGATGTGATCGAGGTGCTGTTTGACATGTGCGCTTTCGGCACGGCGTGGAGGAAACCCACGAGACATGCAGGATGCCACGTCGACCTGCAGCCGCTGGGGTTCGATGTTCAGGGAAAGGTGCACGCAGTTTTTCGACGCGCCCGCATGAGAAGCTCAAAATGAAAAGGTCGGACGATCGTTTCCTGGCAGGCTGAGGTTTATCCCTCTGAATTATGTCGCGGGCTGGTGGCTTGTTTTCGAGATGCTATATTATCAATGGTTGTCAAAGGTTTTCGGCCTCATCCATAACGAGTCCAGGACAGTATTCGCAAACGTCTTGGGCTCTCCCTCACTTTACCTGCCCCTCTCGGGGATGCGCTCGTGAAGCACAGATGGATACCAAGCCCTGGCGGAAGGTAAAAGCATCGGTCATGCATTATCCTCCTCCTCCTCCTCCTCCTCCTCCTCCTCCTCCTCCTCCTCCCTCTCCATTTGGCCCAAGCGACTGCATGGCCTCGCCTGCGCGCGCTCGGAGGGGCCTAGAGGGGTCGGGGGCTAGAGGGGTTCCCTCGGCCCGCGGTGCCTCCTTGGTGGAGGCGGCCGTGCGGGCCGCGTTGCTGTCTTGGGCGCCGCGGCGCACCGTCGCGGCTGTTGCGCGCTCGGCCATCTCTGCCACGCTCTTCACTCTTCGTGTGCGGAGAGGGGCCGAGGCGGCGCCTGCCGCTGCGACCCCCGCCGCTGGTTCGCCCGCCGCCCCTGCGGCGAAGGCGGAGCGGCGGCGGCGCCGCCGCCGTGCCCTCGCAACACGGCGCGCCGCGGAGGCGCCACCCGCTGCTGCTGCCGCGGCGGCTGGCGTTGGGTCTGCTGCTGGAGCTGCTGCCTTGGGCCCTGGGCCCGAGGGGGCGGCGGAGGCAGAGGTGCCCGACGCGATGGAGGAGGAGGTGCTCGACGACGAGTGGGCCGACTCGGCGGCGTGCGGTGCTGCGCCCCTGCCACGGCCGTGCAGGCCCAGCGGCGCGCGTGGCCGACCGAGCACTGCCGCCAGAGGCCGGAGGTCTCGGCCGCCGACGTCGTGCAGTTCTCCGCCCTGCCGCTCGATGCGTTCCGCCGCCTCGCGGCCGCGTGGGCGGGCTCCGGCGCCGGCGCGTGGAGGGGGGGAGCAGCGGGGAAGGCGGCGATGGTGCCGTGCCCCCCGCGGAGGGGGGAGGCCGCTGCCCTCGCCGCCACGACCCACTGCCTCTCGGCTTCGGCTCGCTCGCTCGCTCGCTCGCTCCTCCTCCCTCTCCTCCTCAACGTTATCCTCGTGCTCATTCCTCCTGCTCCTTCCTCCTCCTTCTCCTCCTCCTCCTCCTCCTCCTCCTCCTCCTCCTCCTCCTCCTCCTCCTCCTCCCTCTCCTTCTCAACCTTATCCTCATGCTCCTTCCTCCTGCTCCTTCCTCCAACTCCTCCTTCTCATCCTCCTTCTCTTTCTTCTCCCCCCTCTCCTCAGCATCATCATCATCATCATCATCATCATCATCATCATCATCATCATCATCATCATCATCAGCATCATCATCATCATCATCATCATCATCATCATCATCATCATCATCATCATCATCACCATCCTCATCATCATCATCGTCATCATTATGAGCATCATCATCAGCAGCATCAGCATTGTAATTAACGTCATCATCGCTATCATCATCAGCAGCATCAACACTAACACCACCACCATCACCATCATCACCATTTTCCGTCATTCACCTTTCATCAGTCATCCTTCTTCCATCCGCCATTCACCATTCACCATCCGTAAGTCATCATCAGTATCCTCCTCCTCCTCCTCCTCCTCCTCCTGCTCCTCTTCCTCCCCCTCCCCATCGTCACCATCACCACCATCAACAGAGCCATCAACATCCTCGTCCGTGACAGACATTACATCCTCGTCCACATTCGCAGCACAATCACCAGCACCACCATCACCTTCATCATCGGCATCATTACCACCATGACCGCCAGCATCATCATCGCTACCAGCATCATGAGTGTCACCATCAGCATCATCATCATCATCAGCACCAGCAGCCTCAACATCATCCCCACCATCATTATATGCATCATCCCCATCAGTCGTATAACCATCACCATCATCATCGTCAACATCACTCTCAGCGCCATCGCCAGCATGATCATCATCATCATCATCAGCATCATCATCACGAACGTCATCGTAATCGTCATCATCATTTTCGTCATCGCCATTATCATCAGCAGTAGCACCCGCATCCGCATCATCATCAACATCGTAATTGTCATCGTTATCATAAACATCAGCATCAGCATCAGCACTATTTGCATCATCATCATCAGCATCATCACCATCATCCGCATCTTCAGCCTCGTCATCACCAGCACCAACAGCAACATCAGCATCATCGTCATCGTCATCGCCGTCGTCATAACCATCACTACCATCATCAGAATCATCATCAGCGCCATTATTATCAACATCGTCGTCATCATCATCATAATCATCGTCATCATGGTCATGATCAACATCATCGTCATCATCGTCGTCGTCACCGTCATCAGTATTGCCCCTTTCCGTTCCTTCCTCCTCCTCTTGTTCTTCCTCCTCTTCCTGCTCCTTCTCCTCTTCCTCCTCCCCCTCCTCTCCCTCCTTTCTCCTCACCCCTCCTCCTCATCATCCGTCCGTTTCATCTTCCTCGTCTTCCTGCTCGTTCTCCTTCCTCCCTCCTCCCCCTACTTCTCTGCGTCCTCTTCTGCCTTCTCCGTCTCATCTTCTTTCCTCTTCCATCCCGTTTCTTCCTCCGTCCTCTTCCTCCTCCACCTCCGCCTCCTCCTCCTCATGTCTCATCAGCTTAATCACTTCCTCATTATCATTACCCTGATCCCTTATCCCTCATTAACCTAAGCTCCAGTCATTTTCCTTATACATGATTTCTCCCTGTCGCACCCCGAGGCCAGTATTTAGGGCGGGCCGGGCGTTTCGCCTGAGACATCCTCATCACTTATGACCCTGAAGCTTAAAACTTAGAAACAGCTTCACATATGGAGGGTGGTTTTCAAAATGTGGCTCTCGCATTAGCACCGCGCACATTGGTTTTAAACATTTGCAAGAGTTTCACATTCAGGGCGGGTCGTTTTCAAAATGTGGCTCTCCCCTTAGCGCCGCGCACGTTCGTTTCAGAAATTTGCAAGAATATCACGGATTGAGGGCGACTCGTTTTCAAAATGTGGTTCTCGCCTTAGCGCCGCGCATATTCGTTAAAACAAAAACGCAAGAGCTTCGCGCATTGAGGACGACCCGTTTTCAAATTGTGGCTCTCGCCTTAGGTCGCGCACGTTTGTTTTTAAACATTTGCAAGAGTTTCACATATTGAGGGCGGTTTTTTTTCAAGATGTGGCTCTCGCCTTAACGCCGCGCGCATTCATTGTTTAACTTTTGCGGCAAGAGTTTCACGGGTTCTCCTGACCGACATGCCCGATTTGGCGTGTCGGAAGGATTCAGGAAGATGAGTGCACAACAGTTACGTTGATCTGCAGAGTTGAAGTCCCAGGAGTGGCTTCCTGGCACGATTCCGGATTGTCAAGACGCAACAATCAGGTTGATCAGTGGCGTTGGAATCTTGAGAATAATGTTTTGGCATGTTTCAGGGTCTTCAAAAAGCTGTGTTCCAACTGAGCAGTTCCCGCTGTGTTCCCGCAAGGGGCCTGTGAAGATGGAACTTGGAGGGAGGCTTTATTCCAATGTCGTTGATGATTCTTGGGTTTACACTGGTCTTCTTCCTCCTCCTCCTCCTCCTCCTCCTCCTCCTCCTCCTTCCTCCTTCCTCGTCCCTTCTCCTCCCCCCCCCCTTCCGCCAGGAGAACGATGAGGGTGTCCGACGTCACGTCGTGGAGGAGGCCCGCGAACCGAGCTTCCCTGCGCCCCTGTCCTCAACCCAGTGCCCCTGGCCCTCCTTGCCGTTCGGCTCTCAACCCAGCGCCCCCATGTCGAGCCCCGCACCCGCTCGAGCCCCTCTCCCTCTCTTCCCTGCGAGGAGGGGGAGGAGGAGGATAAGGATGATGAGGAGGAGGAGGAGGAGGAGGACAAGGAGGAGAAGGAGGAGGAGGAGGAAGACCACGAGGAGGAGGAGGAGGAGTAGGAGGAGGAGAAGGAGGACCACGAGGAGGAGGAGGAGGAGGAGGAGGAGGAGGAGGAGGAGGAAGAACCCTTCGGTAGACCCCCTGAACGTCATCCGCGACTGGGGAGCCTCACCCTGGGTGCATCTGCAAGCAGCTGCTCGTCAGCGGCCAGGTCAGTAAGTACCGTGACGTGCCCCACTCGAGGGGCCTCTCAGGCCGCGCCCTGCTCGTGGTCAGCACGGCTGGTGGTCCTCCGGTCCTGCCCGGTGGGGGACCGGTCCCGAGGCATGACTCTCGGCAGCCCGAGTATTTCAGGCACTTGGAGAAGGTCGGGGCCCTGGGCGACACCTCGGACATGTCCCCCCCCCCCCCCCATTTT